TGAATAAATGGGACAACAAATTGATGTTTCTCTCTCCCTCTCCCCTCCTTTCTCTCTAAAAAATAAAAAGCTAGCCTGGCCAGGCGTGGCTTAGCAGTTGAGCATCGACCTGGGATACAGGAGATCATGGTTCGATCCCCGGTCAGGGCACATGCCCGGGTTGCGGGCTTGATCCTCAGTGGGGGGCGTGCAGGAGGCAGCCGATCAATGACTCTCTCATCATTGATGTTTCTCTCTCTCCCTCTCCCTTCCTCTCTCTGAAATCAATAAAGATATATTTTTAAAAATTTTAAAAATAGCCCGGCCGGGCGTGGCTCAGCATTTGAGTGTCGACCTAGGAACCAGGCGATTGGGGTTCGATTCCCGGTCAGGGACCATGCCCGGGTTGGGGCTCGATCAATGACTCTCTCATCATTGATGTTTCTCTCTCTCTCTCTCTCCCTTCCTCTCTATGAAATTAATAAAGATACATTTTTTTAAAAAAATTAAAAAATAAAGCTATTATTATCACTATTATAATAAATATTATTGTTGTTATTTTTGTTGTTCATCTTCACCCGAGGATATTTTTCTCCATTGATTTTTTAGAGGGAGTGGAAGGGAGAGGGAGAGACGAAGAGGGAGAAACATGGATGTGCGAGACACGTCAATTGGCATGTGCCCTGACAGCCGCCAGGGATCAAGCCTGCAACCGAGGCACGTGCCCTTGAGTGAGACTCAAATCTGAGGCCCTTCAGCTCCGGGGGCCAACGCTCTAACCCCTGAGCCAAACTGGCCAGGGCTATTATTAACATCATTAATATGATATTCACGCCACAGGTTTATGATGATTTGAAGGGGAAGTGGAAACTGTGAGCAGGGGGTTATGCTACCAAATTCCAGGGGCCACAGGAGTAACACCTGAAAACGGGACGTGCGGGATGGAGCGGCAAGGGGCACACACCAGAGTAACAGCGCCCATTCGCATTTGCTGGAATTGAGATTATCAAGTTACAGGTGGCTTCCATGTCCCTTTTCTCAGTAAGTCCTCTTACACTGTGCCTGAGGGGTGAGTAATATCACCCATTTTACAGATTTGGAAATTAAGGCTTAGAGAAATGAGGTAACTGGTTCTATGGGGTAGGTGGTTTGTTTTGCTCACCACTGTGTCTCCAGCACCAGACCATAATCCTGGTACAAACAGTAGAGTCTCAATACATGCTGGCTAGTGGGTGAAAAGGTCAATGGTATTCATTCTTCTGCTCCCGAGCACGGCAGGGGTGAGAGGTCCTGTGCCAGGTACCATGAGGAGGCAGAGGTCAATGCGATGGGGTCCTTGAATATGAAGCACTCAGAGTCAGCACGGTGATAAGTTGTGTATAAATTTTTCCACCTGAAGCACTGAAATTCTCCGAAGGACAGATGCTCTGGGAAGTAACCCAAACCTGCTGCAAAAATAAAGCTTTGTAGTGTGTTTCCTACACAGCAAAACCTAGCCTTGGCCTTGCCTACCTGATAAACCATGCTTCTCAGACTTTACTGAAAATAATAACTGCCGGAGGTAAGTGTTAACCGAGGTTTCTGGGCTCCAACCCAGATTCCTGAATCAAAATTTCCAGGGTAGCAGCCTGGTAATCTGTATATTTAACAAGCTTTCCCTCCAGCTTCCGGAGGGTCAAGAAAGATTCCAAGAGCTAAACTCTGAAAGAAGAGTAGGAGCTGGGCTTGGGAGTATGAGAGGAGAGGTGTTCCAGAATCAGGAACAGCACAAGGAAGCGCATGGAAGCGGGCAAACGCAGGGACTAGCTTGGCACTAGGATCAGGGAACAGGAGGAATGGCGGTGTGTGCGAAAGCGGGGAGTCAAGTTAGGAAATCTGAGCCCTGGGGAGCCAGGGAGGTTCGGAGCAGAGGCCGGCTTGGTTATACTGATGCTTTAGAAAGGCCACTCAGGCAGGGAGACTGTACAGGAGGTGGGTATGTGGTCCAGGCAACCCTCCTCACAGAGTTACTGGGTAGACTTCAAGTGATCCTGGATGTGGTGAGTTCGAAATCACTGAACAATGAGGGAATTACCACTGTTGTCGCATCCTGTGTTTGTGTCCATCTTTAGAACTGTAGCCAGATTTGAGTTGCACACCTTTCACTCATAGTCATTTAACGAAGGTGTATTTATTGAGTGCCTACTACATGCCAGGTGCCATAGTGAGAACCAGCAATGAACAAAACAAACAAAAATCCCTGTGCTCATGGAGCCTATTTTCCTTGTCTTTGTGCCTGGGTAAAAAGGCGAGGGAATACGGCATTCACTCACACTCAGATTTTTAGTGGGCATCTACTTTGTGCCCGACCTCGTGTTGGTTGCTGGGAAGAAGCAGACAGGTCAGGCCCAGGCTGGTCTAGTGGGGAAGCAGACTCAGCCCCCACCTCATGGCATTGTCTGCCTGGACTGCTGGGAGAGGCCTCAACCGAGCCTTGACAGTGACAGTCAGAGAAAGGGTGAAACTGTACCGGGCATGGCGAAAGACTTCAAGGTATTTGGGATCCGCGATTCTTCGGTGTGGTTAAGGCCTTGGGTTCATGGCACAGGAAGGAAGTGGTAGGAGAGATGAGGTGATGATGGTGTCATTCAAATGCCAGAGCAGCTACTGAGTGTAATCAGGGGGTCATGGGGACCTGGAGTTCTTGGTGCAGGGGACTGATATTATCACATTGGTTTTGGGGACAGTCACACTAGCAGTTGGGGAGGAAGATGGATGTGAAGGAAAGAGTCTGCAGGTGGGAAGACCAGAAGTAGGCTGTTCTGATGGTCCAAGTGAAAGCGGATGAGGGCCTAAACTGACCCAAGGTGGTGGGAATGGAAAGGACGCAGGAGGCAGCTCTGGATCTGGCCATTGAGGGAGAAGCTGTAACATTGTGGTTTTACAAGACTGGGCTTTGTAATCAAAAAATGCAAGTGTGACTGTGACTCAGCTGAGAGCAGGGGCCACTGTGAAAACTGGTATGAATTCAGTCCCAGATGATGAACTTTTAACAATACCTTCTCAAGAGTGTGAGGCAAGGCCCTGGCTGGTGTGGCTCAGTGGGAGATAGAGGCAGGAGGCAGGAAACCAAGGAGGGGAGGGTTTAAAGAAAAGTCATCAGGGTCATATGTCCTTGAAAGATCATGGAGGATAAGGCCTGACAAGTGGCCCATGGATTTAGTATCAAATTAGTCACTGGTACTTGGCAAAAACAGGTTCAAGGCCTGTTGGGGGCCAAAGTCTCATTGCAGGAGTGGAGGAGTTGATGTGATGCTAAGACATGGAGATAAGGAGCGGAGCGGTGGGAATCAAGGAGAGGGGTGCAGGGTACTTGGATGGTATCAGAATTCGCTTCCCAATTCGGAGGAATTTCCACTTTAAAAGTCAGAGCTATCTAAAGATAGGCCAGGAGGTCTGGTTAGGTAGTGAGTATCCTGTCCTTGGAGGTAGACAAGCAGAGCTCTGAGATTTCCTGCTGCCCAGGGACTCACACTTAGAGCGGGGCACGCTGTTCAAAAAGACATGCCCCTTGTCCTTCTCAGCTAGGCTTGGCTGATTCCTCACATCACAAAAGCCACCTAGAGGGTCATTCTTGCTATTTCCAGTGTCCAGAGAGCCTCCCGCAGGGACACACACACACACACACGCGCGCGCGCGCGCGCGCACAGAGGTGGTCGTGCTCACACAGATACTCCCGGACACAAAACATAAAGTGTATCCGCGTCTCCTGCTGCCGAGGGGTTCACAGCACCGCTCCCCGGGAGTCGCCCTCTCGCCC